CATCAAAATTACCGGGACGGAATCGACGAAACCAAAATTGCGCGTGATTGGCTGTTACAGTATTAGGACCATAAACACTATTCACATTTTCAGCCGCCTGGCTTGCGTTTTCGCCTTTATCGAAGAAAAACTGTAAAATATGGCGTATTTTCTCTTTGCTGGTGTCTATCTTTGACGCGCGCTCAAACAATACTGAGTCAAACGATCACAAAACTGTCTGAAAAGTTTTTCTAGTACGAAATCTTATCTTTTTAACGCCATCTAGCGTAAACCGATCGCACTTATACAACGCGAGATATATATTACTAAAGCCATCTATTGGAAAAATAATGGATTTATTTTTACTACACCTTATATATAAACAACAAATATATCCCTGTCCACCTCATTACTTAAATTCTGTTAAATAAGTTCATTTTGTATCTCAACCGATGACATTTATGCAGGTACTCCGTACATTATTAGCTTAGGCTTCAATTTTATATCCGAGAACCTTCAACTTTGCCTTTGAAAGTGCAGGGGAAGCATCTCACATAACACAACGTCTAAAATCGAGACAAATGACGTCTTATATTCCTACGTTTCTCTTTTAGACGTCTTATGATCTTAGACATTTTACGATTTTAGACATTGTGTTGTGTGGAATGGATCCTGCCAATGTCAAGAGTGTTCGCATCATAATACCATAATCATGAGCGAAGAAAATTCTTTTAATTTTAAGCGCACAATCTGAAAGTCTAAAAACTCTAACTTTGTTCTTCATGTCTTGCGATAAAAAGCATTCACTATCTTCTTCAGGAGCTATGGAGAAGCTGCTTGTATTGGGCATATCAACTCTCGCTGTTTCAGAAACACGAATGCTCTGTTCAGGTTTCTGCGCGATTGCTGCGTACGCTCACATATATGATTGTCTACAATAGACGCTAAAGCCTGCCACTCCGCAACTGCATTTTGCTTCTTTGTCCATGTACTTCTCGGAGACGACATTTCTTAAATTCGAGGTAGTGCATCCACATGCTTCATTCTTTGTCAGATAATTAAACATTATAGTAGAAACTTCGATAAAAGCTCCCTTGTATGCTTTAAATTATGATTTGATGGTAATCTTCCTGTCAGCCGTTATTTTGCATGTTGACAGGATACTGGAAAAAGTATCATGATACTTGTTTATCGATGATCTTGAGTTAATTCTAGATAATAGCTCCGAGTTCCGAGGAGACAATCTCTCCGACACACATAAAGCCTTTGATATAAACCTCCTCTTGTTTGTTCAGCTATTATTTATGTGCTGTTTGTGTTTCTTCTCTCGACATCGTTATTATCATTGTTATTCAGCGCGATTCCGGCCGTCAAAGCTCGCTCGGGCGCTTTAGATCGTAAACAGATGTGAGTCACCAACGTTCAGCCACAGCATATCCGTAGAGAGTTTGAATTCTTCGAATACGTGTGCGTGTCTCAAAGAAACTGATAACGATTTAGTAGACCCCGATAGTAAAATGAACCCGGAAACCGAAGAGCTTCTGCATCAAATGACAAAAGCATTTAGTAACAGTTCACAGATGAAAAATCAGAGCTACGCAAACAAACACGCACCCAATGGAGAACTACAGTAGGCTTGCAGACAACGATGCTACGGCCGAACACAGATCATACATAAAGACCTTAAAAATAAGTCCCAATAGTCCAGGCACGGATAAAAATTTTTCACGACGCTGAAACAATGATCCAACATAAGTGTAAACATTTCAATTAAATTTGAAGGGGCATATACAATTTGAGGCTAGAATCGAAAAACAACTTTATAAAGATCAATTAATAGAAAACTGCTTCAATTGAAGAGTAACAGAAAGACACGTCTCCGTATATCTTCACTAGAAAAAGAAGAGAGAGAAGGGCGAGAGAGGAGAGGGGAATGCAGAAAGAGGAGAGGGATGAGGAAGAGGAGAGGAAGAGAGGGAAGGAAGGGGAGAGAGAGAAGTGGTAACAACTTTCTGCAAATAGTGATTACAAAGGTGGAACTGACAAACATTTGAAGCGAGGGGCTGAAGAACAGTAGATAGCCATTTATCTATTTTATAGATAAATTAATGAATTATTAATCAGAAGTGAACTATTAATAAAAAATCTACTAGATATTAAACTTCTTTTTCTTTTGAATCAAAAGAAATATATTGACTTGAGACAGAATGCTCTCTTAATAAAAGAAATTTCTATTAAGAATCTATTTTTTTTAAATAGATAATATTCTATTAACACTTGTAGTATAAATGAAACTTGTACTATAAATGAAAGATAAAATTCCTCTAACTTTAAAAGTATTATGCTTAGAATAAGAATTTCTTTTAGCTTTAAAAGAATCTTCTTGAGATCATATACAAAAGGATTTCCACTAAAGATAAGATTATATTTTTTTGCGTACTACTATATTCAATTAAATGTCACTTGTTTTAAAAGTACTTAAGTTTATATATTCGCAAGTTTATCATAAGTTTATTAAATTTATTTAAAATATATTTTTCTTAATAAATTTCGCATGTCAACCAAGAATATTAAAATAAAGCAAAAATTTAATTTGCTTACTACACAGAGTGGAAACAAGTTTTTCTTTGACAAAGCTTTATAATATTTTTGCAAAAAGAATAAATTCTTCTTTTAAGGATATGATAATGTATCTTCTGCACGGCGCGTGGCGTCGCGTCGCGTAATGACCAGACTGAATTAATCAACGTTACAATAATTATTTTTAGATTTCGCACCAATCTCGCGTGGCCACTTTCGTATCTTGCGTTACTCAAATCTCGCCGTTCACATAGTGAAAAAACGAAATGATTACATTTTGAAGCACAACATCGTGATGCGGAGAATATGTCTCGCAGAGTGTAACACGTGAAGTTAATTCTCTTAACGAGACGTTTCCCGCGGTCCGAGCAATGGCAGGACGTAAATACGAAAATAGTAAATAGAAAGTAGCAGCGACGGTATCCATCGTTGCTACTTTCTATTTACTATTTTCGTATTTACGTCCTGCCATTGCTCGGACCGCGGGAAACGTCTCGTTAAGAGAATTAACTTCACGTGTTACACTCTGCGAGACATATTCTCCGCATCACGATGTTGTGCTTCAAAATGTAATCATTTCGTTTTTTCACTATGAACGGCGAGATTTGAGTAACGCAAGATACGAAAGTGACCACGCGCGATTGGTGCGAAATCTAAAAATAATTATTGTAACGTTGATTAATTGAGTCTGGTCATTACGCGGTGCGACGCCACGCGCCATTTTACGTCGTTGGTAACACACGCGAGGAAAGCGACGGAGCCAAATCCAGTGTAAGCGGATAAAATATAATTCAAGTGCAAGATTTATTCACCCGGCGGGTACGGTAATCCTAGTTTAACAATGAAATATAATATCCAGCACGCTCGAACTAATGTATTTGGCATTTCGAATCATGAGTGATCGTTAAGAGCATAGGGAACGATATCGTAATTAAATGTCGCGCTTATTGTAAAATACTTCGTGCAGTCGGGTTACAATTTTTCGCGTTACCACGTCCATTTACAAAATATATCTCAAAAAACTGCATTTTGTTGTCGTAATTCTAACAGGAGCTTTCGATTTCGTTTTAGCTTCGTGAATTAACTTCGCGAATTAACAGCAAATCAGGCCGCTGCTTCTTTCGAAAATATCCTATAGTTTAATATTCGTGTCTTAACAATGTCATTGTTATATTGTTGCAACAAGTATAGTAAAAAGTATAGTAAAAAGACTACGCAACAGCAACACACCAATAACAATAACTATCCTTGAAAGATAACAATAAAAATTATATTTATTAACAAGAAAGAATCCTCTTTGGTTACATTAAAAACATAATATACATAGAAAACACATGCATACATACAGAAAAATATAATTCTACTGTTAAGAAAAGAGATTATACTTACAATATCAGTTTTTGTATATATTTATTTTCAATTAATATATTTAAATAAAGATTACCTTCTATAAAAAATATTTCCTTGATAATAGTTTTAAAATATACTCATCGCAAATTTTGAAGAAGATATATTATCATATCCTTAAAAGAAGAATTTATTCTTTTTGCAAAAATATTATGAAGCTTTGTCAAAGAAAAACTTGTTTCCACTCTGTGTAGTAAACAAATTAAATTTTTGCTTTATTTTAATATTCTTGGTTGAAATGCGAAATTTATTAAGAGAAATATATTTTAAATAAATTTAATAAACTTATGATAAACTTGCGAATATATAAACTTAAGAAGTACTTTTAAAACAAGTGACATTTAATTGAATATAGTAGTACGCAAAAAAATATAATCTTGTCTTTAGTGGAAATCCTTTTGTATATGATCTCAAGAAGATTCTTTTAAAACTAAAAGAAATTCTTATTCTAAGCATAATATTTTTAAAGTTAGAGGAATTTGATCTTTCATTTATAGTACAAGTCTTGTTAATAGAATATTATCTATCTAAAAAAAATAGATTCTTAATAGAAAATTCTTTTATTAAGAGAGCATTCAAGCTCAAGTCAATATATTCCTTTTGATTCAAAAGAAAAAGAAGCTTAATATCTAGTAGATTTTTTATTAATAGTTCACTTCTGATTAATAATTCATTAATTCTGATTAATATTTCACTAGTTCATTAGAAAAGAAATAGTTCGGTGTAAAGAATTTTCGCTTAAAATATAGGATTATAGAAAATAGGACTTTTCAACTACTATTGTTTTTTTGAGTATTAGAATGTTTTCTTTTGATTTTAGAAGAATTCTCTTGAAGTTAAATATGTGAGCTAAAAATAACATTATATTTTTTAGGTAATTTCTCTGTGTGTAGAAAAGATTGAAAATAGTTAGAGCTAAAAAAATGGAGGTAGTAAAAAATAGAAAAAGTACAATAAACTATAAAATACAATCGTAATAAGTATAAGAATAGACTTACTTCTTCTCTGGTTGCGACCCCCTTTTCTCCCCATTGGTTCATTCATCTGTCCGTTCGTTTGCGTTCGCGCACGTGCGAAATTACTTGAGCTCGTTCGACCATAATTCGTTAGGTGTCAACACGCTGAGCAAGCGATCTCGAGCGTGGCTTTACGAATTCACGTTAATTTCCACGAGGCTGGCAAGACGCGTTCCGATGGAAGTTCCAAAGAGCTGTAAGTAGAAGCAGGCGGTTAGAGCCAGGTGAAGGAGTGCGCGACATACGCGTCGCTACCGCTGTGAATCTACTATCTTGTCTCCAGTAACGCAAGGTCGCAGGTACGTTCACACACTAAAAGAAACCTTTCACATCTGAAGAATTTGCTACTTTCTTCATGCAAGAAAGTATTTCTAATTAACATGAAAAAATTTACACCTCTCGGATTTCTTTGATTTTAAGGTATGTTACAAATGGTGAAATTCTGAATTTTATGTACTTTAAATTATGTAGTGGCTCGCATGTAATTCTAAGATATATCAATTTAAGACTTTGCATGTCGAATTATATTAAGAACTATATCTTGCTATATTGCCATTTCAAACATAACGTGTGCTGTTCTCCTCTGTTTACATTTTTTATTTACGTGTGCCAATTTCTTCAATTACATTTCAATTTACGAACTGAAACTGTATAACTGAGTCTATTATATACTAAAATAAATAAGATTCTAAAGAGATTAGCAGAAACCTGCAAGATTTAAATTTAAGAGTGATTTATATTATTAAGATATCTTAAAAATAAAATAATATTAAAAATAACTATTAAAAAAAATTATTATCATTAAATATTATTAAAATATTTCTTTACAAATTTCATTACATATCTAAACATTGTGTAGGAGCCTCTGCTGGTCTTTTTAAAATTTTATTCTAGTATAGAAGATGGACTCATTAACTTAGTAAGACAAAAGATTTGGAGAATGTTTTGACAGAGTTTTTACTAGTTCGTATGTAAACATAAGAAGAAATAAAGAAGAATAATACGAATAATATATTTAGAGCAATGGCAACGATGCACAACTGACGAAATTATAAGACTATAAAATTTAAACTAGTAAAATTACTAAAAACTTTAAAGTGATATTACCTAAGAAACTGCATGCAAGCTCCATACAATTTAAGATACAAATGATTTAAAATTTAATATTCGTTAAATAATAATTTAGTAATTAACATTATTATTCTTAACATTATAAGTATTCCATATTAAACGTAATATTCGATATTTTATATTTATATATAATATTTTGTAACGATATATATATATATATATATATATATATATATATATATATATATATATATTAAAAGAAATTCGCGAGGTGTATAACCTTTTCTAAATAATTACCTTCACGAATTTTGTTATTTTGTTATTCATCTTTATAGTTGCATGATAATCAGGTAGCAATCTAGAAAAGAATCATAATTCCATAATCTTCTCTCATACACGATACACATACGTATTCTTTGTTCCACGTTAGATTCTGATAATGGCGGACGAGGTATTCACGTTAATCTTTTTTGTGTTGTATTGCTGGAGCAACGAAAGTTACGCGTCCAGAGTGAAAAGACAGGGATTGCTTCCGCCGCCGATCGTCTATCCGTTCGGAGGAACGTTTAAGGTATCTTGAAGCAATTAAGGAAGTTGTAAAGAGGGGGCTTAGTGTAATATTTTGATGTGATTCATCAAGAACTCATAAACTTGTTATTTATCACAAAACAAATTACATTACTATATACTTATTTATTTTATTAATTAAATAATAAGCATTAATTTTTTAGACAAACTGGAGATGGGTATATATATAATATTACAAATATGAAAAATATTTTTAACATTTTTCTTATTAATGTTTCATTTATGCATTAGTTGATCTGATAGGTATAGATAATAGAAAGAGATATATAAGTGTTTAAATATATGTGTATACGTATATGTAAAGGGATTTGTCGCGCATAATGTGCATAGAAACTAAAGTTTAAATAAGTTTTAAATATATTAGAAATATATAAATCAACTTTATATATTACATCAAAACGATTTTTGAAATATTTACTATAAGAAAAACAAGTTTTACTCCGAAAAGAAATAGTTAAGAAGAACAAAATTACTATTTCTAAAAACTTCACTTAACTTTATTATGCTTTCTACGCGGAGTAAAATGGGGTACTTCACAAAACTTGTTAATTTCCCAATCATTAATTTTCAGAAGAATCATTAATTTTCTTGAAAATGACTTAAATTAAGGTACGCAATATATAAGTATATCATTGTATGTTTAATTAATTATAATTACTGACAACACAAATTTTTTGTAAAATAGTGAAATCATATCGTATTATTATTCAAATATTAATGACAATAATATGTGGTAAAAGTTGGTAGCAATTTTCTGAAATATATGAAAAGATATAACGCAACTTAACATTTTAATGACGTAATCCCATTATGCCCCGAAATGTATAAGTTTGGATTAGGTAGTATAAAACTTGAATAATCAATATTTTTGGCATTTAATTAAAACGGGGAAAAATTGTTTAATAACGTAAATGTGTATATATGGTATATAAAAAACGGAATTTTATCATTTGCTTTATGCAAAAGTATTAAACAAATTTCAATAAACTTACAGAAAATACATAGAACGCATGAAACAATATCTAGCATCTTTCGCGACTGATAACAGCACACAGTAAGAGATATCTAAGAGTAATAATTTAGTAATAATAACTGCAAAATATTTCATTACTTCTTAGAAAAGTCACAAACAATATCCCATGTCTCTAAACAAAACATATTTTGTAACATATTTTCTAAAATCCCATATTTTCTAAACAAAACAGTCAGTTATTCTTTGTGCATATCGGTATATTAGTATTTAATTATCATAACAATTAAAATTCTAATTTCAAAAAATAAAAATAAAAAATAGCTCGCTAATCTCAAAGGATATATATAAAATGTGTCAACTTTAGTTTCAAATATTTTAACTATCAAATAGTTAACCCTTTTTTAACTGCATGAGCAGTTAGATAACATTGCAATTTATATATTGTATAAATTCTAATAAATTCTTAATACATTCATTTTGTTTTACAACTTTCTTAAGAGGTCAGACGAATGTAACGCACTAAAAAAAGCGTATTCTTGTGAATTAATTTTGTGAAAATGGATTAACCGAATGTTTCGAGACATTATATATTACATAATTACATTATATAATTACATAATTATTAAACATTATATTACTATTTTTGTTATTTAGAAAGATCTATAAATAAATATACAACATGTGACCGAACTCACTAGTTAAAGGAAGAATCCAAATTTTAAGTTATAGAACGAAAATTAGAGAAACAATAGTTGTTTAAAAATTTAATAATCAAATTTCGCAATTTTCTTTATTCCATTATTAAAAAAGCATTAAGTTTAATATTTTTCTGAATTTTTTAGGTTCATTTTTCAAACTACAATTTTAGCATTTAGCATTTAGCATTAAGCATTTTATTTAAGAAATTTTTTGGTTTTTTGATCTTAGGTCACTTGAACAGGCGTCTTTTTCCTACCGAATGCAGCAACTTTTTTATAGTCATAAGTTCAATCACATGCTGTATATTTATTTATAGGTTTTCCTAAATAATAAAAATAATAATATAAAATTTAATAATCAATTAATATACACAATATTTCAAAACGTTAGTTTGGTCCATTTTCGTAGAAATAATATTAAAAAATATGTCTTTTTCAGAGTGCTACGTTGATCTGGTCCTTTAAGTCTCGAGATCACGATACTGTTTAACCTTATTAGATTCGCAAAGAAGGATTCGAGTTCTATCCCTTTTCCTCTCGCGGTAAAATTTTACGACTATGGATAGAATAGCGTTGTTACCGTCCTCGAAAAAAATGCGGAAAACAGAAAAAAAGGAAAGAGAAAAAATTAAATTTTTTTAACCAGCAAGAACGTATTCGTCGTTGATACACGATTGATAATTAACCGCAGTTTCATCTACACTGCGCCGTGTCTTCAAATTCTTTAATGAAATCGGGAAAACTCTTACCCTGCGGTTCTCCTTCTTGCTCCCGCTCGCGGTGAATGAGACGGCTCTTCGATGTCGTGATGGGTTGTTTGTCTTAGTTTTTGCCTGCCTCTGCGAAATTCTCAGTTATTAGTTACTCTCGAAAGGCAAGAAAACTTAGGGGGAAATTAAACGAAAACTTCACGGGATATCTGACCGGAGTGTAAATAAACGCTTTTAAAAGTGTTCGGGGTAGTAACTGAGGACGGGGGAGAATATCGGCTTTCTCCCTTCCTTTGAGTTCTCGTTTGTTGTAAAAATTACGGGGGATCTTTATTCTTCGCTTGTATAAGTAACATTATCGCTTTCGCGATTGTTACTTTCCTTGGTCTTAAGATAGTTCGATAGGTTCGGCGAACGAGATGTCTCGTTTTTAAGTAAAAATTATCCGAAGCGAATGCGTTAGTATCCGATTATCGTATATGTTGAGAATATTGTATAGTAAAAATTAGGGAAATTTTAAAAACAATTACATATCGATATCCTTGATTTTGAAAAATGTTATAAAGAGTATCTATAACATTATACAATAAATATTAAATCCCTGTCATCTGTACTTAAACTACATAAGGATTGTGTGTAGTTCCTGAGATTATCAAAGAGATTATTAAAGGTTCTTACGCAAGATTTGAGTTTAGATGTATAGCAAAATTTATAAAGAAATATTTTAATGATATAGGTCTCTTTTTTTCCCTCCCTCTCCCTCTTCTTTTCGCTCCCTTCCTCCCTTTCCCTCTCTCTCTCTCTCTCTCTCTCTCTGTTTCTCTCTTTTTCTCTCTCAAGCTTAAGCCTTGCAGGCTTTTGTTAATCATTACAGAATGTTATTTGAGTATATGATAAATTCATCAATTTAGTAAAGAGAAAGATGTGTGTGCGAATATTTTCGATAGACCTTTCATAAACTGAAAAGTATTTAGAGAAAATAGCGTATGTAAATAGAAATGTAAACAAAGAAGAATAGCACATGATATATTTGGAGTGACAGTAGAAAAGAAAAAAGTTAATTCTCAATATAGTTCTATGTAAAATTGTAAAATCTTTAAGTAATATGTTTTAGAATCGCATGTGATTATAATATAATTTAAAATATATATAAGCAAGAGAGAGAGAGAGAGAGAGAGAGAGAGAGGGGGGAGAGAAAGAGAGAAAGGAGGTTCAGAATTTCCCCCTTTAGAATATATTATAAAAGAAGAGAAATTTGAAATGTGTGATCTTTTCTATATAACTGTCTAAAATTAGTATGAAATTATTAAAATTTATTATTTGTACTGCCAAATTTTTTTATTGTTAATTGTAGGACCGAAAAACATACCGACGGTCTATCTTAATTTATTAATTTCCTGTTTCATACTTACATTTCAGTAACTGAAATCTCCTGTTAAGAAACTTTCCGACAATATTTATTATATTCCTTAACAAAAAATAAACTCAACTGACAGTCACTCTATATATTACTATTATTTTGTATATATACTATCATTGTTATTATTTTACTGTTATATATTATTACTACACTATTAGTGAAATCTAAAAGAATTTATATGAAGAAAAGCTTTGACATTTCCACCAAATGTTTCGTAATTAATCGACGGTGCGCTGTAAAATGTGGTTGCAAATGTGACATACGGCGTTACGGCGGTTCGACGTAGCGAGAATATGAGGATACAAACGAGCGTTCGTATTCAGCCTGTGTTTTTCCACGCGGCTCTGCCGAAAATGGAAAAATTCCATGCGCGCGCTCGCGCCCGAAAGTGCACGAGCTAAGATGCAAACGCCTTTTCGGAGACAAATTCGATGTATCCGGGTCAAAGCGCCAAGCGTGAAAGAGCTTCGAGGGCGCGGCACGCCGGGTGTACGCGTCAGCAGGCGGGGTAAATTGACATCGATTGTTCGTGTTATAACGCGATATAGTCGATTGACCTCTCACGAAAGCCAGAGAGAGACTCTTTAATCCAAAGAGCGCTGGAATTGTAAATATTTGAATATTTGCCTTAAAACGGAGGCAACCAAAGGGAAAAACGGATTGGGCACGTACAGGTCACTGCACGTGTAAATTCGTGCAGGAGTGGCTCTCCCGGAGAAACAAAGTGAAAATAATTTACAGGGACTTAGACGGGGGAGACGAAAAAAGAGCGGACAGTCACGAAGATACACTCTCCGAAATTTTCATTGTTGTCACCGTCAACATTCTGCGCAGATTCGTCGAGTGTGCTCGATTGTTTTCCAGCAGCCTCCATTAATCGGCGCGAGTCGCCCTTAATTTTTCATCCACGTCACGCTACAACGCGTTTACACGGATTGCTCACGGAGACAATGTATAACATGTCTTCATATAAAATTTTGTTCAATTTTATGCTAGTAAAAATACTTGCTGTAATGTCGAATAAATTACAGTTAAGTTATCGCAATCAACGTTAGATACATAAAGTAGGTATGAAAATTGTGATATAACATGTATTTTTATTTTCGTTTTCACTATGTGTTTATAAGTATTATTATAACCGTCTTTCACTTACATTTTGGATAAGATGGCCCACTATCATTC